TCGCTTGCATATTAGGTACAACATTAATCCAGCATTAGTCTTTTTTTTTGCCTGTATACATTTGCCTTTAGTGAGCACTGGGAATGTAATTACTTTTCACTGTAAGAGGGATGCTGTGAGCGTGGTACAAAAAGAATAAAAGCTGCAGATAATAAAAGTATAGAAGAAAGGCAAATCTCATAAGATGTGATCATGTACGTCATATCTCTGCATGGTAGCCTAATGCAGCCACACCAAATGCGACCCTCTCGCCTGCCTCCAGGTATTTTTCTGTTGAGGTGTCAGCAATTTCCTTCTATTAGTCTCCCTCTGTACCAATGCCGGCTGTGTAATTAAAGTTGGTTTTTTTATACGTCTCTTCTGTTCTGCCTTGTCCTTCCCTGTTTGCTCTGAAACTGGGTTAATATGGAAATAAGGAAGGAGGTTTCTGAATTTGCTTCTCTAATATGCTGCAAATCCAAAAACTTCCAGCTACCTCTCAGTATTAGATATCCCCCCCCACCTCCTAAAAACGCATCTCAGAGCAACAATTCAACACTTTAGGCAATGTGTTTATTTGTTTTGGTATTTTTTTCATGAATTAAAGTTTGATACCACCCCCGCTACTAGCTTCTAGCTGCTCAAAAAGCCTGGCTCTGTCCAAATAGTGCATGAAAAATGGCAAAATGTAGTTTTAGCAATGGAAAAGTTCTGTGTATTAAATGTATTTGGGGAAAAGGGGAAAGAACGAAGAGTCGGATTTCCAATATTTTTGTTTAAACGCACCCATGTAGACAAATTAGATGAGCTCCAGTAGCCCTTCAACACCACCCATCATCTGATTTTAACTACTTTAAATATCAATATAATTTAAGCCAGTTAGGGTTTTAGTCAGTATGGTAAACTCTGCATTAGGACTACCATCTGGAGGCATTGCAGCCATGTATCCATAACATTTAGCTGAATATTCAACTATTTTATCATTACCCAAAGATACTTTCCTAATATATCCATCATTTTAGGTAACTACTTCAACTTTTCTTTTTCTATAATGCATCAATAATAAAAGCATTTCTCAATACTTTCAGCATTACAATTAATCTATTCACAAGTATTAACCATTTGTCCAACATTTAGTTCCATATTTTACAGATTTATGTTATTCTCAGCTAGCTACAGACTAGACAACTGTTTAATCAATGTAGTATAGTTTCAGCTGTTTATTTCCAACCTTAAGCTACCTATTTCAGTTTTATAACATCTTTTAGCAAAGTGTTTGCTTCCTAGTTTTTACACCATAGTGCAGTTATTTGTTTGACATTAGTACTCGTGCATTAAAACATTAAATCTGATGTCTTGAACAAGAGGGTTTATTTCCCACCGTGGACTCCTGGTGGTAGACAGTTTGCTCACAGCACTGACAGTTCGTCATCCTTAACCAGATTGTCTACTTTGTATGTACTATCTGTGTTGTAAGTATGAAAAAGCTCATGAGTAATCAATGGAAGATCTGTTTCCTTCTAATTAAGCTATCAGCTCATTAATTAGCAATTAATTAGCTTTGCGTGCTAAATATCTGATATCGTTTTGAACTTAAAGTGTTGAGGAGTTACAGCGTTTTCTAGAAAATCAGTTTTTACCGTAATAATATGGAAATTTATCCAGGAAGGTTCTGCCATGTTTGACCTGCTGCCCTCAGGGAGGCGCTACAGGTGCATCAGAACCCCCCCCCCATCTACCTCACATCCACCTACTGTAAACCCCACAAATGTGAATACCATGATGTGCAATATTTTTCTGTATATATAACTTATCTGATTTTTTATACTTAAATCTCCTCTATTTTTCATTTTTTGCTCTTTATTTTGTACTTATTATGTATAGCACTGAAGGAGCTGCTCTTAATCTCATTGTACTTGTGTATAGTGACAATAAAGGCATTCTATTCTATTCTATTCTAAAATCTACAGATCCCACTATGTGCCATTCTTCAGTTATCATGTTCATAAGAATGTGTCGACAGTAAGAGATGAATAGAGTCCTTGCTGGCATAATGTCTGGACATATAAATTTGTAAGCCAGACAGAGTGATAAGCACAACATCTAATGTTACCTCAGGTCATTCTCATCCTCCGCCTCTAATTAACATTTTAATAGTCTGACTAGAACTTGCCCTGTGTTTTTCAGTGCTTGTCCTCTGTTCTGTCTCTAATAGTTCACATCATGCTTTGCAAGTATTCTATCGTCTGACAGCGCGGCGCTAACAGACTCCTTCCTGCCTTCATCTTGTTTGTGAAACAGATTTTAAGATGAATCTGCATAAAGTAAATGGAGTGAGCTCACAAGCAAACAACCTCAAAGCCCATGCATTTAATCATCATGCCTGAGAGGACAAAAACAAACACACCGACATAGAACCTCCTGATACACAGAAGACCAATACTGTATCCTGGAGCCGCGTTGAAACGTTGCGCAACGAGGGAATACATTAACCTTTCAGCGTCGTGGAGATGATCCTTGATATCGACACTCAATCAGTCCCCTTCAAAATTACAGCCCGCTGTGTGATTCGGCTGAATGCCGCTCTGTGAAAAGCCTCGACATTTTCCCTCCATTCATCAGGTGACGCGTTGTTATGGCAACCGCGGGGACGGACACATCCGTCTTGCGTGACAAGATGGTTTGTAGATGAGGTCCTGATCGTTTGCGGTTGGGGGAAACCTTGACATTTGAAAGGGGGGAAACACGCTGCCGGTATCGATCATGAATCTACCAGTCGGTTTCATGAATAAGATGAGACAAGTACCGTGTGTTTATACTGTACGTTCTTACTGCTGCAGGCTGCTTACCGTCGGTTTTATTGCTTTTCTTAAACATGACTCACAACTCTAAACTGAACTGAAACATCCAATATTCTGTGAGCAAGGCATGCAGTCACCTCCTATCTATATATAAATCGCTGAATGAATAAAAATAGCACATTATTGGCAGGTTCAAGAACACTCAGGCTGAGACATTCACTGCAAGACGTTTTGTTGAAAGGCAGATAACAGCGACTCGGAAAAGTTCAAACACAAAAACCATAGATATAACACGGACTCATGCATAATGTTAGAATAAGTTGGCTACATTTGTCATATTATTTGATACCACAGCTAATGTTATTGTGGACCAAAGCCTCCCACCAAGCTTAAGCCAAATACTTCAACAAAATGTTAAGTTTTCCTAAGTGCGCACTAACCAATAATCATTGTTCAGCATTTAACAATCTAGTGCATCCATAAGTCTTCACATTTGTCTGCTTTTCTACTGATTAAAGGCTACATAATATTACCCCATCGGAGTCACTAGCGTCTCATAAAAACCTTGTAAAAGAACGACATATGCTCCACGACTGATCTTGCCTGCGGCTGAAGGTCTGTACAACAAATAGTGAGGTAGCTTTGGGTTTAACTCCGGGTTTTCAGGGCCACGACGATGGTTCACTTCTTATCGGGGCACATAGTGACATACGTTCAACTTGCTCCGGAGCAGGCTATGTTCAAGATAACAGCTAAACATGTCGAAAAACAAAGCTTAGTTCTCTTAGAAAATGGCGCCACCATTAGCAGAAGATCCCGTGGAGCTCGGTGCAGGGAGAGTCAAAGAGTCTCAGGCAAGAGTTTCTGGAGACCTTCTGAAACATTTGATTTCATTGCCTAGACATGAGAGATTCATTCTCAGTTTTCCTTGTTTTATTCTTTTGCTGTTTACTGCAAGAAATTTCAAAATTGTTCTATAGGCCTTGGCGTAGCAATATAATCCTAAAACAGAGGCTGATTAAAGCACTAGATCCTCGTTGACATTATCAGATCTACATTTAGTCGACTCATCTGTTTGAATGATGCTTTTATATTTGTTCATTGCATGTGCCCGGAGTCACAGCTGAAAGAAAGAGGCTTAAACTCTCTTAAATGCAATAAAAACAGGCTGCGTTCAAGTAGCACATTGATATTATACACAGCTGCGATTATCACAACATCTGTTTGTGCCTTCATGATTGGGCAGTAACATTGATAAGCATTGTAACTTACAGATTCACACAGCATTCCCTCCTGCATCGGGCTGCAGTGTCGCTTTTGTAAAGGCAACATGAATTCTAAGCACTTACTTTATTGTTTATCATTTAATTCTATTAGAAATAAGTTGCTTCTATATTTAGTCATTTTCAGATGTGATCTATGTGATCAGAGTTACAGGTTGACTGTTATTAGTAATGCGAGATGTATCTGTTGTACAACGAGAGCTAAAAATAGAGTTTTCCTCTGAAGAGGCTCCTTGGTCAGCTTATGAAATGTAACCGAGGCCACAGATCCTTCTAAGGAGGTGCTTTACTCTCATCTCTAGGAGGCTGTTCTATCTAAGGAATGTAGGAATTGGGAGTTTTAGATCGTACAGGAAACCATACGATAAGGTTTTAAGGTTTTTGGGGGGAGAGTGAGGAGTAAGGCCTCTTCCACACTGCAGTGATGTAGTTTACATGCAGTATATGATAATAAATTTACAAATGGCCCAGCAGTGTGTTTGTTTTCTCATTTAAGGGTATGAGATGGCATCAATTCCACCACACTTTTAGCCTGTTTTTTAAATATCTTACATTGTTTTAAGATTATAGTTTCTTGTGAGAAATGAGCAGCTCTACACCTGTTTATGTAACTGCTCATATCCAGAAACCCTGTGTTGACTTAACAAGCATATAATCAGTGTGGCGTTTAGTGTGACTCCACTTGTTTGGTTTAGTAAAGCCAGATAACAAAAAGATATCCTGGGTTGATTGAACTTGCTTTTCAGGATCCAAATTCAATAGATCCCATGTTAGCAGCATTGCTAAGACTTTAGACATAGTTTTGATGGCTTCACAGTTATTTTTAAGAATAATTAAGGCCTTACTTTCGCATAAATTTATTTTTAAAGACTTTTTAAGAGTGTCGACGCCCTAAATACAACAAGGGGATGCAAGTGGCTCTTTCGGTTGGACTTACCATTAACGCAGAACTCATATGGTGCACAGAGCTCGTCTTCAAACAGACAACCTGGAGGTAAAACAGAGGGAGGAGAGCAAATTAAAACACAGCTTAACATATTATTGGAATGTCAACCTGGTTTTTAAAGGGGGGGAAAAAAAGAGAGCAAAATGCAGTATAAAATTAGCCAAATGTCGCAATTTCTAAATATGTCAGCGCTCTATAAAAGTACAGCTTAGGACTACATTAACTCTGGCCGGGGGCCTCGCTGCTAATGGCAGAGCCATCAATCATCAATTAGTGTGACTTCTCCTATCCTGTCTCTGACACTAATACCCCAACTCCATGGGCAACGCTTCCATATATGAATGTTGCATGAATATTAATGAACTTTAACGCTTGGACTAAGAATGGGTGTTCCAGACTAATAAATGAACAGATGGCGGGAGCATTATGAGTGGCTGTTCCCTGTGTTCATATCTCACACGTGGGAGTTGCAGCGAGCACTGATTGTTCTGCTCGCTGATCTGCACAGGTGATCCTCCTCTTGTACACATTTCCAGTAAAAGACAAGGGGGGAAAAAATAGCCCGTGGGGTAAAAACTCCTCTTGAAGTGTAATTTTCTGTCTTGTAGGCTGAGCATGATCACACATTCAGGGTCAAAATGAGCTCAGACAGTAACGCAGACCTTCAGCCAGGAAATGAGCTGCATAGAACACAAGATTTAGGTTTGCTCAACGAGCTCTTGACAGGCTCATACTGCCGAGTTTATGGCGTTTGCAGTGTTGGCAATACAGAGGAAATCTGCAAACAACTAGGTCAAGCCTCAGCCCTCTTTTTTCGAGTCTCTTTATCTTTGTTATTTCCCTCCCTCTGCTCATCAGGCGTGGTGACGGAATTGGATGCAGCCTCTTGGCCCGGTGGCCTCGATGGACAGCAATGAGCAGCTCGTGACCGTGAATGAGGAACAGACTGCGTAGGAGGAGAGGCCTCTGTCAGACTTCTTTAATAATGAGAAGAGATTGGTGGCGGGAAGTCTGTTAATCAATCGCCACATAAAAGGAAGATAATTAGGACAGGTGGAGGAACTTTTCAGGCGTCACTCGGTCAAAGTTTGTCCAAGTTTCTTCCTCACGAATTTGACATCGCCGTCATTATTCTGTTCCGTTATTCTCTTAAAGGCTAATCTGCGTGGGAACCCCGTCCTACAGACACAATGTGCAGCCATTTTGTTTAGCAGTCGAGGGCACATTTCATGAAATTGCGCCTTTCGGAGGTAATGGCTTCAATATGTCAGTAAAATGGCTATTTAATGATGTCGAGCGAGGCATCATCACAGAGCTGTAAGGTCGCTCAGTTCTCTAGAACAAAACTAAGAGACAGAATGTCCTGAACTACAGAAAAGCAACTTACTGCTGCAAAACTCAACAGCTTTTCCAACTCATTGTACCTGAATGTTATTCTGCTACACAGCCAGTACATTCCTCATTTTAATGTGCCGATTATGGCCTAAAAGACTCCATGTCTATATATTATTTTCTGTCCTTTTTTTTCCCCCCAGTTAGATTTACAAGCAGCTACAACCATAACTCTGAAGTTCTGCTGTTGGTTAAAAAGTTGCACTTCAGTATTTTGTCAACTTGCTAATTTCCAACTGATGTGAAGCTGAAATAATTACCTGATTGCTCAATTAAAAGAAAACCAATCAGCAACCACGGACAACCGATTGATACTTCAAGTCTGTCTGCAGGCAGAATTAACTGGTCAAAGCTTGTAAATTGTGAGGATGTGCTGCTTTTCATATAGAGTGAGTTAGCATCAATAACACTAAATAAACAGCGACTGCCTGGAGTTGAATGTTTGTACATGTGAACATCATATCCCGAATACATAAAACCTGGATAAATAAATCCTGCGCAGGTGCAGCTTTAGCAAAGTCACATAACAGAAGCATCATCTGAATGGCTTCATCTTTACCTAGGACTTCATTAGGTGGCTCATAGTTTTGTCCACTATACTGTGACACAGCACTTTTTTTTTTTTTTTTGACTTCTATCAATTCCAAACCGAAGCCATATTCCCTACAACTACCCAGTTTGTACAACACTATGATGCTCATAGTGCTGTTTCCTCTGGTTTATGAGGGATTTTGTAAAGGATGCATGGCCTGTACATAAACTTCCTCTCCTCTCTGGGTCACTGAGCTCCATCATGATGACCAGTCACAGCAGCACATCTTCATCCGCTGCGCCTTTGTCCTACAAAGTGCCACTGAAAGTCCAAGAGAAGGACATGTTCGATGTTTCCTGTTGCTCTCATCTCACGCTTGTTGGAAGTAAGGTGACTAAGCCAAATCTGCAACACAATGTTAATAGTGTGAAGCCCACGTTGAGCCAAAATGGTTTAATTTCAATATCTGCAGTCAAATTTAAAGTTTAATTATATGCTCAGAGGTATAGAAATGCCAGATCAAACTATCAGGCACCTATACAAATAGCACACTGTATTCCATGTACTCCATGTATATACCACATTTTGAACAGGATCCAACTGGGATAAACGTCATAATCTGGCATCCATGTAAACATCTATCTTTAAACATCACCTTACTTGTTTAGAAAAACACAATTTTTAAAAACTGTAGAGCCCACACAGTCGGTTAATAAGGGTGCACCTCTTATTTCCACACAACTGCTTCTAACTTGCCCAGACTTTTACATTAAACTTTAAGATGCAAACAAATATAAAGCACCAAACTTATCTACAACTGGAGGAGTCCCGCAGTCCCTCTTGACCATGCATCTCAGCGCTCTGCAATTAGTGTCAGTCCATTCAACTTTACCTCCTCATCACTTCCCTGCTTAATGCATTGGGTTCTCTGGGAGGCCTTGTCAGCTCTCAATATTAATTACGACTTTCAACTAATGGCGCATCCAGCCAAGCATAGTTAGTCAGACATAATGTGTGTGTGCGTACGTGCGTGCGAGTGCGCGTGTGTGATAGGCAGGGACATAGGATTGATAACGGCACATCCCCTTTCTCCGACACCATGCCAGAGATGATTAAAATGGCGCCTTTTAATTAAAATGCAATCGCAGTGGATGCTGCTGATTACCTCGGGCGGGGGAAAAAAAAAAAAAAAAGGACTTGGAGAGGCTGAGGAGGAAAGCTGGAAAAAAAATAAAATAAATAAGGTGTCTTGGCTATATCTTAATGAAGCATCCTGACGAAGAATAGCCACATTGTCTTGTTTAATTCTTGGCGTACAAGATAATTTCACAAACAAAACGACCTTTCCAAAGAAGTGCCGCACTCGCTGTTGAGTACCGAGTCTCTGTTGCCATGTCAACCTCATCACAGATCAATCAGAGCAGCTCATCAATTAGAAAACTGACTGTTAGTTCAGTCAAGTATGCCCAAGTACACTTTCAGAGGGATTTACAGGATCGGCAGAGATGATTTGAGCTTCGACTCCAACAAATGAATGCAACAATAAACGTCTGTATGGAACGTCTTTGTATTTAACGTCTTTCTGTTTATTTCTTTATCATGTGAACAAATGTGGAGCGATGCAGGAAAAATGTGTAGCTTAGTGTTAAAACTGTACTTTCAAATGAGTCTTAATTGGTGTAAATACTGCGTCAACTAAGTCATCTATTGTTTTAGTTAATTTGATAACTGTAGAGCTGGAACTGATGATTCTTATCATTACTTTTTAATCTAAAGTTTCCTTTTAATTAGTAGCGTCATGGTATATATGTGTGAGCAAATAGTAAAGAAAAAAAAGGCCATTATGAGTTCTCAGAAGCCACTAAACACATTTTAAGTTGTTAGATTTCGCATGATCAGCAATCTAAACCCCAAACACACTGATTTCAGTAAACAGAAACTAAGAGTTGATCAGTTTTGTTTACAGATTACTTAAATAATTATCAAAATGGTTGCTAATTAATTTTATGTCAACTGAGTATTAATTAAATGGCTCATTTTTGTGGCGTTAGATGACTGGTCTGTTGTTTATTTGATTAATTCAGTAAAAATGACAAATTCGCAGGTTTCAGGTTCCAAATGCGACGACCAGCTGTTTTATATCTGTAAATTAAATAACTATGAATTGTTTTGCAACCTGAAGCTCTGGTAAATTTTGACAGAATAACGAAAACAGTCAGTATTCCCAGGCCGTGTTTTGACATTTTATCGCTCAACAATCGATGCGCCGCAAAAGTGACAGATTAATTGATAATGAAACTAATTGCCAGCAGCAGCTCCAGATGAGCGCTAACCACAGGTGTTCTAAATGTGCAGAAGCTTCCCCTCCCAAAATAGACGCCGTGTGACCTAATTTACAAATACAGTATGCAGGGAGAATCCAGAAGGTCAGTGTAGATGTAGTGAGTCAGTTCACAGTTTTTTAACAAGCTACACTGGTAGTTAATGGCCTGTATTCACAGGAGATGGTGAAACAGACAAAACGGCAGCCCGACACATCTTCGCATGTTTGCCTCAGTCTGTCTGTGGAAATGATTTGCAACAGGCTGTGGAGACTTTGCATAAAAAACGCTTCCAAAAATGAATTCAGAAACCTGGATCAATTACCTGCTGCACAGATCTCTCCAAGGCCTCCACAAAGAGCAGAGAAACACTTTCCAGTGATGCCCCCTGCCTGCTTTATTACAACGTCCTGCTATCGAGGGCAGCAGGTGCAACTACTGAATAAACAAGCGACGCACATGTAGAGACACGCACACCCAAAAACTGTTCACCTTCAGCTACACTCTCACAGCACAAAACAGCACTCGGGGGCGTGAAATCAGAGAGGAGGGAGAAGCTCATTTGAGGTCATTAAAAGAAAAGTTATTGCATAAGGAGCGTTTCTCATTACAAAATAATATGCCCACATAATCTCTGCGTTAATCTCCACCTGTGCATCATCAAGCCCTTCATTACGCATCTCACTGCAGATTTACTTCTGAAGAATCTGCTTCAGAGTCGTCTTAAACGCTCTGCCGCGATTGGCTGACCTTGCCTGGAACATTAAATGTGTCCCGATGAGGCACAACCCAAGGCT